CCAGGAGCAGACTTGCAGAATGTGCCCTTTGGAGATGTAAATTATTATATATGCCTGAGTGAGGTTTTTGTTGTTGTTGTTGTTTTTTAAAAAGCCTTTAAAGTGGATAGAGAGAAATACTGTTAACTGATGGTACATGGAGGGGAGTATAATTATTGCAATGAAACAAAGTATATGATTTGCTGAATGTACAACTGATGATATGCCCTGTAAACTTTCACTCAATCCACAATAAAAACCTTAAAGAAAAAAAGACAGTAAAGAAAGAAAAGATCAAAATGTATGTCAGAAGAAACGCTGAAACTTGCTCTTGAGCATAAAGATGCTAAACTAAATGGAAAAAAATGAGGAGGCTAAAGAGCTGAACAGGAAAATTTAAAGGGCAGCATAAGAAGACTAAGTCAAATATTATAATGAAATGTGTAAAGACCTGGAGTTAAGAAAATCAGAAGGGAAGAACGTACTCAGAAACTTATTTCTCAAGCTGAAAGAGCTGAAGTAACAAGTCTCCGGTAGCAATACTGAAGGGTTCCATGAACAAAATATTAAATGATGCAGAAAGCATCAAAAGAAGAGTACCAAAAATAAATGGCCAATATGCAACCATTTCAAGAAGTAGCATGTGATTAAGAACCAATGGTATTGAAGAAAGAAGTTCAAGCTACACTGGAGGCATTGGTGAAAAACATGAGTCCAGGAATTGATGGAATACAAATTAAAATCTTCCAACAAACTGATGCAGTACTGAAGGTGCTTACTTATATATGCCAAGAAATTTGGAAGACAGCTGCCTTGGCAAGTGATTGTAAGGAATCTATATTTGTGCCCATTCCAAAGAGAAATGACCCAACAAACTGTGAAAATCATTGAACAATATCATTAATATACATGTAAGTAAAACTTTGCTGAAGATAATTAATAAATGGTTGCAACAATACATAGATAGGAAACTGCCAGATATTCAAGTTGGATTCAGAAGAGGGTGTGCAACAAGGGATATCATAGTTGACATCAGATGGTTTGAAGACGAAAGCAGAGAATATCAGAAATATGTTTTCTTGACTGCAAAGGCTCTTTTGACTGTATGAATTATAACAAGCTATGGATAACACTGTAAAGAATTGGTATTCCAGAACACTTAATTGTGCTCATGAAGAACCTATACATAGACCAAGAGACAGTTGTTCAAACAGAGCAAGGGGATACTGAATGATTTCAAATCAGGAAAAGTGTGTGTCAGGATTGTGTCCTTTCACCATATTTATTCAATCTGTAAGGAGCTCTGGTACCATAGTGGTTATGAGTCTGGCTGCTAATCTCAAGGTCAACGGTTCAAAACTATCAGCCTTTCCAAGGGAGAAAGATGAGGCTTTCTGCTCTTGTAAAGATTTACAGCCTTGGAAACCCTCTACAGGGTCTCTATGAGTTGGAACTGACTCCAGAGCACATAACCACCACCATTCAATCTGTGTGCTGAGCAAATAATCTGAGAAGTTGTATTATATGAAGAAGAATATGTATCAGAATTGGGAGAAGACTCAGTAACAACTTGCGATATGCAGATGATTCAATCTTGCTTTCTGGAAATGAAGAGGACTTAAAATTCTTATTGATGAAGATCAAAGGTTACAGCCTTCAGTATGGATTGTAACTTAGTGTAAGGAAAACAAAAATTCTCACAACTGGATCAATAAATAACATTATGGTAAATGGAAAACAGATTTAAGTGGTCAAAGACTTCATATTTTGCGTAGATCCACAATCAATACTCGTGGAAGCAGCAGTCAAGAAATCAGACTACTATTACATTACGTAAATGTGTTACAAAAAGCCATTTTCAAGTGTTCAACAGCAAAGATGTCAGTTTGAGGACTAAGATGCACCTGACCCAAGTCATGGTATTTTCAATTGCCTCACATGCATGTGAAACTTGAACAGTGAATAAGGAAGAACATAGAAGAATCTATTAATTTGAATTATGGTATTGAAGAAGAATATTAAAAGCATCATGAGCTGCTAGAAGAAGAAACAAATCTGTTGGAACAAGTACAGCCAAATTTTTTGCTCCTTACAAGTCAAGAAGGTAAGCTTCTTTTCCCACGCTTTGGACCTATTATCAGGAGGGACCAGACCCAGGGAAAGCACATCATGCATGGTAAAATAGTGGGTGAGAATAAAAGAGGGAGACCTCAGTAAGATGGATTGACTTGGTGGACTCAAACTTAGCAACAATTGTGAGGCTGGGGCAGGACCTGGCAGTGTTTCATTTGTTGTGCACCTAACAACAACAACTATTGCTGCTTACCAGATTAAACAACATATGTCTATTATCTCACACAATTAAGATCCAGGGTGATTGGTAAATGTCCAAATCTGATATCCATAAGAGATATGTACAATGGAATTTTAAGAGTTAACTTAAAAGTATAAAGATGGCAATTCTCCCCAAATTAATTCACTGATGCAATGCAATTCCACTAAAAACATCAGTTGAGGGTTGTTTTTTTTTTTTTTTTAGGAATTCAGTAAACCTCTAAAATCTACATGGAAAAATAAGGGTCCAGAAATAAGGACGTCAACCTTGATAAATAAGTTGCCTGGTGTCCATCCCACTCCACCACTTAGCAGATGTTTGACATTGTAACATTGAGCAAATTATATCATCTCCAAGTACCTCAGTTTCTCTATCTCTAAAATGAACATGTAAGAGACTTAAAAAAATAATAAAAACAAGGTTATTCTGGATAGCAGATAATACATGCAGACAACAACAAATAAGATAATACATTAGCACAGTGCCTGGCACATCTGATCTGTGAATGTGAACTATTAGGAAGCAAGCCAGGGAGAAGAAGCAAGTAAACAGAGGGACATGGGCTGTGGCTCTGTGGGGTGTGAAGAACTCCTTACAAGTAGATGGTATAACCAAAGGATGGGCAGCATTCACAGGGCAGAGCTGGAGTAAGGGATTCTGGGCTGATGAAAAGGGAAAAGTAACACACTGGGATGTAAGGTAGGGAATAGCAGTCTGGCTAGAAGGCCATGTTGGCAAAAGGGAGAGAAGGCCATTAAGGGATGTGTATAGAAAGGCTTCTGGGCACAGAGGAAGGAGGTTCAGGAACTTTGCCCTTTCCATGGACTTGAGCCACAAAGCTGAAGTCCAGGTCCCTCACAGGACCGCTGTGAGAGTCAGGCATGGCTCTGGAAAGGAAGCTCCCTTCCTACCACCCTTCGGCCTTCTTCAGCATGGGCCTCCTCCCAGGACTTGGCCACTCCCAGCATACAGCACCCCCACTCCGCAGCCTTGTTACTGGCAGGAGCTTTTTGTGGGGGTTGTGCCTGGTAGGCGGTTTTCCCAGAGCAAGGAGCAGAGAAGGGCTGAGTTGGCGCTCACTTCCTCTGATGTAGACATTGCTGGCTGGATGACCAGCCTGCCCCAGCTAACTTTGAGCCCAAGGGTTCCCTCAGGCACTGGGTCCCTGTTCTGTGTCTGCCGCACTACACCCCAGGGGGTGGCATGTCACAGAGGGGACCCAGAGGGACACCAGCAATGCCAGGAGTGGGATGCACTCATGTTAAGGCCAAATCTCGGGGGCTACCAGGCATTGGCAAGAAGAAGAACTGCTTGAGTAGAACAAGGCAGGATCTGTGGGAAGAGACAAGCTGGAGCAACCAGAAGTGGAGCAGAGCTGCCCTTAGCCCTCGGAGATCCAAGGCTAGGAGTCTGGCTTGTGGCAAGGTGAGGAAATATGGACTTTGGAAGGGCATTTGGGAAGGAGGGATGAGATGTCACCATTGGAGAATGGAGAAGAGCTGAAAATCCCTCAAAAAGGGGCTGAAGGCCGTTGCTCTCTGCTGCTGGGTGTTCTACTCCTCTTGCATGACCCTCACTCCCAAAAGCTCTTAGAAATCAGGTGCAGATGGTGATCTGGGTCAGACCTACTTAACTGGGGTCCTCTGTGCAGAGTGAGGCCAGCCCTGAGAATGCTGCACGGGAGCGGAGCCGGGTGAAGACCCTGCGCCAGGCCTTCCTGGCTCTGCAGGCAGCTCTGCCTGCCGTGCCACCCGACACCAAGCTCTCCAAATTGGATGTGCTGGTGCTGGCCACCAGCTACATAGCCCACCTCACCCGCACTCTCGGCCATGAGTTGCCTGGTCCTGCCTGGTCACCCTTTCTGCGTGGACTCCGATACTTGCACCCTCTCAAGGTAGGCCATAGCCTGAGGACTTGAAATGATAGGATCTTAATGCCTTGGGATGGAACTTTGGGGTGGAAGGACACTGGACTTGGGTCCCTGCCCTCGGAAGAGCTTTGGGGCCAGCTGCTCCCTGGCTCTTGGAAAGAAAGGAGTCAGGCAGGATGCTGGGGCTGAGCTAGCCCTCTGTTTCTCAACGGGTGGGGCTGGGGTGGCTGGAAATGGCTTTCTGGGATGTGGTCCCTTCAAGAGGAGGGGAATTCATGGAAGGCCCAGGACTCTGAAGCTCTTAGTGTGGGAGGCAAAAAAGAGAGCAGGTTCCAGGGGTGGGGCCTAGGCAGGGAAATGGGCATCATCATCCATGGCACTGTGCTGTGGTGTTCTCTGGACCCCTGCCACAGGAGAGTTCTGCTCTCCGGGAGAACAGTCTAAGAAAGCATCATCCTAGAAACAACCAAGCTTAAGGGGCAGCATTGGTGGGGGCGGGGAATTAGTGAGGGGCACATGCTCAATCCTCACTCTTTGTAGCCTTACAGGCACCCAGAGCCTATTCCTACAGAATGAGGTCTAATGGTTCTGAACCTTAGGTTTATTATATGTGAAAGGGAATATATTTACATGAGCCCCACTTTTCTTCCAAAGTGTGAAATGAGCTCATGGGAGAAAGGTATAATTAATAACAATCATTGTCATGATAACTACTACTATTAATTAGGTCAGACCCCTGGTGTGGTGCTGTAGGATCAACACTGGACTGGGAATCAGAAGGTCGGCAGTTCAACCCCACCAGCTGCTGCTTGGAAACTGACTTGACAGCTCTAAGCTCTGGTAGCATAGTGGTTACGAATCAGGCTGTTAATCTCATGGTCAGCTGTTTAAAACTACCAGCTGTCCCGCAGGAGAAAGATGAGGCTGTCTGCTCCCGTAAAGATTTAAAGCCTCGGAAACCTTATGCAGGGTCGCTATGAGTCCAAGCCAACTCCATGGTACATAACAACAACAACAACAAACAGCAACAACAACACAAAGATAGGTCAGGAGCCCTGGTGAGACATTGTAGGATAAGCACTGGAATGCGAACTGCAGGGTCAGTAGCCCAAATGTACAAGCTCAAACCTACCAGCTGCCCTGCAGGAGAAAGATGAGGCAGGCTTTCCCCTCTAGTAAAGGTTTGCAGCCTCAGAAACCCTCTACTGGGTCATTATGAATGGGAATTGACTGGATGGCAGCAAATTTGGTTTGGTTTGGTAAAGCTAGGTCAGGAGCTGTGCTAAGTGCTTTAGTTCATTTTTCTCTTCTAAAAGCCTCACAAAAGCTGAATTTTAACCTGGAGAACAGTTGGGGAGATTGACTGAGTGTTGTTTGAACCCAGTGGTGTCTGTCTTCAAACTCCACCCTCACAGTCACTAAGCAGATTGGGAGATGGCCGAGTGAGGATGCACGTGAGAATAGCTGTTTTCCCTCTGATGATAATATCATAATGGATTTAATTTAATCTAAAGGATATTTTTTATCATTCTCCTCTCCTATATATTGTAGTTCTGAAATGTCTTGAAACTTGAAGTTTTTTTTTTCTTCTTTTCTTTCATGCAAATATAGTTAAAATGCAAGAATTTGAAACTAAATGAGGGCTACTCTAAAATGCCAATGCAATGGCCCTGAACTAGGCAGTCATTTTCTTAGCTAGAAAATAGTAACCCAAGTAAGGGCCATGTGGTAGTTGTTCAACCTTAGTAGTAGGCCATGTAGTAGGTGACCAAGAATGGGCAAATGAGAGGCCAGGTTAGGACTAGGACTCTGGCAGACTAGTGGGTAGAGTAGTTAGCCTACAGCAGGGCCCCCTCAGCTTCCCCGTGCAGCATTGCCAGAGAGGAAGGTAACCTCAGGGCAGTCAACCTGGCACTTCTGGGACTATTAGAAGGACAGGCAATCCTTGCAAGACCCAGCTCAGGAGTGGGCAGCTCTGGGACAGATCTGGGACCAGAAGTCCGTGGGGTTTTTAGTCAGGGCCACCTAGTATCAGGGGAGCCTCTCCTTTCTGGGTTCTACTGTTCTCCTCATTGCCCAGCCCCTGGCTGTTTGCCATTCTGCCCAGACCCCCTGAGCTCCTGCCACCTCCCTCACACTCCCGCTAGCCTCATCTCCTTAGATGGCTCCTCCTGCACTTGGCTTGAAGCCAGGCTCAGAATGGTCAGGAGAATGCATATGGTAGTGATGTTACAGAACCGTGGCAATGGAGGACAGGAAGAGATGCTAGGGAAGGCTGAGTTTTGGTGTCAAGGTTCTGAGTGACAAGTGGCTGCAACCGTATTTATTTCCCATCCTCATGTCTTACAGAAATGGCCGATGCGCTCTCGTCTCTATGCTGGAGGCCTGGGGTACTCAGACCTTGACTCCACCACAGTTACCACCTCGGGCCAAAGAAAAAGGGATGCAGAGGTTGAGCCCCAAGTCTCTGGGGAGACAGATGTTCTGCTTACCATCAGTCCACTCTCTCCAGCTCTTGGTGGCAAATGACCATACACTTACCTTTCTCTCCCAGACTCCAACTCCAACTCAGGAACCTGGATTTTCTACCAGACCCTACCTGTTTTTGCTCTAACTCTTAGCCATCAAATCGGATCCAGGCTCAACTCCCAAGTTCCAGCACACAGCCCAGAGAGACGGTGTGTGCTGGGAGCAGGGTGGAGCTCATCTGTGATTGAGAGGGCTCAGAGAAGCATTGGGGTGGGCACACAGACCATAGTACTCTTCTATGGTGGCTAAAAGGGAGTGGGAGAGGCTTAATTGGTTTCCAGGTTAAGTTAGGTACCACCTGCTTGTCTTCACTGAACTTCCCACAAACCCTCTGGAGAATGCAGGAAGACAGAAGCTACAGCACAGATGCAGAGGTAGGGGTGTAAGATGACAGCAGCTCAAGGAATGGACAGGAAAGTAGGCAGCTATAGCAATAGGTTCTTGGCAGCTGGAAATCTGAACAGCGCTGGTGTGGGATCACACAGGAAACTGCATGAGGGAATGAATATACACTCATTAAGAGCATTAGAACTACTTAAGGTCAAAGAGGCAGCTAGGTATCTAGGTCTCTTCAGCTGCCCCTCATCATGACATTTTCTCTGCCCTCAGCCCTGAACCCTTCCAATGCTTTTCTTGAAATAAGTCATGAAGCTTACATTGTGTACATTCTAGTTTCCTGAGAAATTTTTAGATAGTCCCAGCTGACTAGTTTAAAAAGACCTGATCCCAAAGACAGCCCTACCTTAACTGCACCATGCAGTAACTTAAGGCCTTGCAGATGAAGGCTATTGAGAGCTTCAACTACACCCTCAAAGAACCTTGAATGAGAATTTGTATCTTTTCCAGGGAATAATAATAACACTCTTCTCTTCCTATTGTATTAGAAATCTAACTACAAGGATAAACAAGATAGGCCTGGTTTCAGTAGGTTCCTGGTATGATTTTTGCTTAAGGCCTCATTGGCTACGGACATAGTTCTAGAATCTATCTGCATACTAACTTCCTAAGGCCAGCTGCACCCCACAGGCATTGTCTCCCTAGGCCCTCCCTCTGTCTTCCCTCAGTTTGCCTGCGATTGGATAGAACTTTCCTGGAACTCTCTCTGGCTTAAAGAAATCATTTGAGGCAGAATCATTTGAGCCTACACAGACTTAAAAGTACTCTCCAGGCCAGGTGCAGCTTCACACCTGGTATCTGAACTCCAGACTCAAGAAAGACATTGGCAGTTGCGATCTGGTTGACTCTAATTCATGGTGGCCCCCAGTGTGTCAGAGTAGGACTGTGTGCCCTAGGGTTTTCAATGGCTGATTTTTCAGAACTAGATCACCAGGTCCTAGTTCTGGGTGGACTTTAACCACCAAACTTTCAGTTAGCAGCTGAAATCACTTACATCACCAGCCTGGGAAGGAACCACCTTTTTGTTCAACTTCAGCACCTCAGTGAGTTCCCAATAGGGACATCTTCAGACAGAAGCTTCCATCAGGTGTGTCCTGAGGATGGAAGAGGTTCTGGGGAGGCTGCTAGTGGCTTGGGGGTCTGAGTTCTGGGCTGGTCAGAGCAGCAGGAGAAATGGGGCTGGGTGAGGGGAGAGGTGACTCAACCAGCTGGGGTGGAGATAGAAATGGAGAAACAGAATGTCCCAAGCCTGTGCTGCTTGGGATGTGGGAGGGCAGCTAGATTGTGGCTGGGAGCCATGAGAAGGCCTCCACCAAGGCTAAGCCCATAAATCTGTCTGGGGCTGAGTATCTGCTGAGGGACCCTGGAAAGCTGGTCCAGAGCGGCTTCTGGGAAGCTGGGTGGGGGAAGGCAGGGGCAGAGGCCAGGTGTGGGAGGGCATGAGCACAGTGTTCTCACAAGACCATAAAAGTCCAGCTCAACTGTTCTATTTTTAAAGCTTGATAGTCTCCCTGCTTGGGTTCAAGAGTAAGAGGAGGAAAAAGGAGCAGAAGAATTTCCCCATGTTTGTGCCTCCTAGTCTTTTTCTGGAGATGAACGGAAAACTGTTCCCTGGGTGTGTATGTGTCCCGGGGTTACCTTATCATATGGTACTCCTCCTGACAGCTAAATAAACTTTGGTTTACAGTTTGCCCTGTCCTGCTTAGACTCAAGCCTTTGCAGAGTTATATTAGAGACTTTGGGGGTGACCACATTACCTTGGTTGAGAAGACAAGCAGTACAAAATCAAGATAAAGCTGGTAAGGGACCAGGAAAGGCAGGTATCCATCATACAAGTTTTTAAGGCAGCTTCAGTTTCCTTTGAGACAGTATTAGTTTCCTTGGAGCCAAGAAGAGTCCTGTGGAGTCCAGAGGTACAAAACAAAACCAGGACCAGGACTAACCCTCTTTATCTCCACAACATACAAAGGAAAACAACTGTTCACTGGAAGCCAGGGACTTTTTATTCCAATGTGGGGAATGTAGTGAACAACAGCAGTCAGAGTCAGCAGGAACAGCAGCGATGGTCCAAATGACAACTTTTATTCCCTAGGAACCAGGATATGTAGGAAAGAAGCCTCCAAAGGATACGGGAGCACAGATAACATAACATCAGGTGGTTGCTTTTCCATGGTGGGCGGCCTGGTTCCCATGGTTCTCACATTCTCTGGCCCATCCTCACTTACTCAAGACTCAAGATTAGAGGGAGAAGGGACAGTGTCCCACACAGTTGGATGTGTATGTCCTTTCTTCTTTTTTTTTTTTTTTCCAATTGTTAACTGAGTGATAATTTACATGGTAGAACATTGGCTTTACACCATTGTTTCATTGCAATGATTACAGTCTCCTCCGTGCATCATCATTCAACAGTATTTGCTTCCATTCCCTCTGTTTTGTTGTTGTAGGGGTTGGGGTGGAGAGATAGACACAAAAACACTCAGGAATATATAATAATTTAAACAACCAAACGGCACATTCTGCAAGCCTGCCTCTCCTGGCCACCAGCACCCAGTCCCTCTCTTTCCATAAGTCTAGAGTCCTCAGCTGCTTCCTCGCTCCATGTCCCCATCTCTGCCTCCATCTCTGGTGTTGCTACTTCTCTGAATAGGGTCCCTCATTCTGCTTGTGCTCTACTCTACCATTTTTGTCACAAAACTTCTACCTTTATAGTTGTGACAGTTGCAATTAGTCATGATAACAATTACTATTGAATCATAAGAATCTTATGCCCAGACCCATCTAGACAAAATGAAAACTATGCAGTGGGGATTCTATTTCATCCCCACACACTCTTAAACTAACTCCCTCTTGAAAACTTATAAACCATTCTGCGCCTTTATCATCCTCTCATTTTAGGTAGTCCATGTCTAAGTTGCCTGTGCCTATTTACACTGTGGAGTCCTGGTGTGGCGCTGTGGGTTAATGCACCAGACTGCAAAGTCGTTTGAACTGCAAGGTCGATGGTTCAAGCTCACCAGCTGCTCCTTGGAAACCCTATACAGGGTCGCAATCAACTCAATGGCACTTAACATCTACCCTGTATACAGAGGGAATAGGATTGGTACTTGATGTGAAGACGCCTTCCCTCTCTGTTGGTATTTAGAGCTACTACCTTCATGAGTATAAGTGTGTGTGTCCTTTCTGATGATCAGCAGCATTGTAGGAGAGAAGCAGACTGGACAACAACCATAGCAGTTGTTAGCTTCCAACTCATAGCAACCCCATGCATAGCAGGATTTGACAACTGTGATCTATGTTTTTCATTGGCTACTTTTCAAAAGTATACCTTGTCTTTCTTCCTACATCTTAATCTGAAAGCTCCACTGACATGTGTGTAGCATCATAGCAACACACAAGTTGCAATTTGGTGCACTGGCTAGGAATTGACCCATATCTTCCACATGGAAGGCAGAATTCTACCACAAAACCACCACTGCCCTTAGATATGGTAGAGGCTGTAGATCTTGGCAAACTGGAGACCAAAACAGTTCATAATAGAAGAACTACTCTGAAAAAAATTTCTCTTCATCTGGTCAGTCAAATGGCATTATCGCCATACAATCCCAAACCCAAGATCCCTACAAGTTTCATGGTTTAGATCAAAGTTTGGAAACTAAGGATGGTAGGCCAAATGTGGTCTCTTTTCTGTTTTTATAAGCACATTTTTTAATTGGAGCACAGCCACACTTACTTTATGGATAGTCTAGGATTCTTGTCCTGCTATTGAGACTGCAAAGCCAAGACTATCTACTATTTACAGATGCTTGCTCTAGATCAGAATGTATCCAAACTCTGGGAACTCTAGAAATCTCTGAGACCCTTATAAGGGGTTTAAGTGACCTAAACTATTTTCATAATACCCATTTGCCCTTTTCACACCGATTATCTCAAGAGTGTAGTAGAATTTTTCAGTAGTCACATGATATGTGATCTCTCAACAGATGGAAAGTAGAAACAGATAGGTGAATCCAGCTATTTATTAAGACATACGGCACATAACAACAACAACATTAAAGATACTAGCAAAAATGTGAAATGATGCCACTCTTTTCTTTAAAATATATGTTCATATAGTGAGTTAATTGATGTTATTCTAAAATAAATCTTACTGAATTTTCTAGTTTAATTTCTAATATGGTAATATCAGTATACATATTACCACATAAGCAAAAGTTCCTTGAGTTGCTAGTGTTTAAAGAATAGAAAGAATTCTGAGGATTGCTGCTCTAAAGCAGGTTGGTGATGGTCAGGAACTCCCATCCCACACACTGCACAATGACAGCTCTAGCACCCCTACCCAAAACAGACATGCTGAAATGGTCCTGGTCTTCAGGAGATGTGTAGTGCTTGGTGGAGTGTGGAGGAGGCAAGGGTCCTGAGTCCAGATCACAGTGAGGTCTCTTGGAGGACGAAGGTGGGGCTATTGCCCTGGTGGACTGAGCCTTCCTGGACCTGCTTGTCTCTGCTGTCCCACAGTATACCATCATCCATGTTCTCTGGAAACACAGCGGTGTCCATGGGGAGGTCCTGGGGAACACATAGAAAGAGCAGTGGGTGGGGAGGGGTGAGTACATAAAGCAAAGGGGTGGGGAAGAAACTAATGCAGAAAAGGAGGGAAGTCTGCAGGGATCCCTACTAGATGAGAAATCAGCAAAGCCAAAGGGAGGTGGGTGAGCAGGGGCACGGAGAGAAAGGGAGGAGCAAACACAAGGCCAGGGAGAGCAAGACTGGGATGGAGGGAGCCATCAGCACTGTCGGGACAGCAGCATTGTACATGCTTAGAGAAGTGGAGGGAGGGGTGCTAGGGAGTAGGAATGGGAGAGGCACTACCTGGCTATAGCTTCTGCAGGGCAGTCGGTTCTGGCAGCATGAAGGCAGGAGAGCAAGGAGCTTTGGCACCATGGGGTAAATGGTCTGAGGGTTCAGCGTGCGGCCCCGCATGCCCCCTAAAAGCAAAGGTGCTTCACAGTCTCCTACTGGACTGTTCATACCCAGCAAGGCCCCTGTCCTCCAGGATGCACAGTTTTCACGCCCCTAGACCACCTCCTGGATCTCAGCCAACCATCTTCACTGTTAGAGATACGCAAGAGCTACAAAGGCAACATCTCCCCCAGACACCAGGTTCCCCGAGCACTCCCTCAGCCCCTTGTTGTATCTTCTGTCCCCATGCCACACTCCTCACCAGTGAGCAGACTGACAGCCAGGCCCACCACGATGACTGTGGTGGAGTTGTGGGCGCTGTACCACAAGTAGGACAGGGAATAGAACCGCTGCAGCCCTGTGGGCCTGGGGAAACACAAGGGTGATGACAATTAGCAGTTCAGGACTGGCATTCCTCAGGCACCCAGCTCCACCCATCGACAGGGACCCAACATCCAACACTTTCTGAGGCCTCTGGTGGCCCAGGCCATGACCAGACCCCTGGACAATCCCTCAGAAATGACATTCTTCCTATGAAAGTGAGCCTACTTACGTGGAGAGGGTGGTCAAGGGCATCAGTGTGGTCATGGTAACCGCAGTCATATTGCTGGGCAGGGAGAAGCTGGACACGTTAGGGGGAGAGGATGCCACACCAGAGCTTATGTTGGTCACTAGGCTCCCAATGCCAATCCAGAAGGCCATGATGAGTCCAGACAACAGGCCCACTATGGCTCCCTGCACAGAGACAGGACACACTGCAAACCTCAGCTGTTCCCACCTCCCCACCATCGAACCTTCACACCAGGTCCTGGCACTCAGGGTAAGAGCTCTGCCAAGCCATTCCCCTAGCCCATCTCCCTCCATAAGACCATTTAGCGAGATGGGCCACTCACAGCGGGGTTGGCACAAGGAAAGAACATCCCAAGGCAGAAGAGTCCAAGCAGCGGCCCACCAACCATGCCAAAGATGCTGATTGCTGCCTGTGGAGAACATACAGGTTCAGAGACCCCCAGCCCATGACAGAGAACACAGCCACCTGCCACTGCAACAGAGCCCTGCTGGTCAGCTCTTTGTTCTTCCACCTGGAGCAACTGGAACTGAGGATTCCAGAGGGTTATTGTTAAGTGCCTGTGGAGTCTATTCCAACTCATAGAGACCCTGTATTGGGTTTCTAAGGAGCAGCTGGTAGGTTTGAACCACTATTCTTGAGGTTTATCCTACACCGCCTCACCAGGAGTCCATTCCACAGGGTAGCAAGAGTTACTGGCATGGTTCTCATCTTAGATCTTTAAACTGACAATGTCAGGAATGACACAGGGGCTTTTGGCTACTTAAGCAGCTGCTCTACAGCTAAAGGTGGTCCATTAAAGGAGAATTTCTGACACCTGTTCCCCATGTAGTTCCCCTTAAAACAGTGTCTTCCTCAATCGTAGTGCTTACGAGTTGGGCTGCGAACCTCAACGTCAGCAGTTTGAAACTACCAGCTGCTCTGTGGGACAAAGATGAGGCTTCCTACTCCCATAAAGATTTGCAGCCTCAGAAACCCTATGCAGGGTCGCTATGAGTCAGAACCGACTCCACCACCACCAATGGACTATTTTAGTGCACTTCTTTCCTCTAAACGTCTCCTTCACTCCAGAGTCATTACCTGAAGCACAGATCCCATCTGGGAGGAAACATAGGCCATCCCCAGACAAAGCAGTCCATAACCAAATGCTGAGGGGAAAAGAAAAGACATAAGCAGATGTGAATTTATACAATAGAAAAGGAGTGGAGGAGGGCAAGGGGGAATGTAGAGCAACACTCCTCCCATCAACCACCACTGCAGTGCCCCTGGAAGCAGAGGGCAGACATATCACCTCATAGCCCAGACCCAGGCCACGCCCACGCTGTCCTCACTAAGTCACCTCAGATGACTTTAGTAAATGCTCTGAGATGTAAATGACCATGGGGTGAAGACTGTGTGCTTCATCAGTCAAGTGCTGAGCTCAGTATAAAGCAGGGGCTTTAAAGCAGACTCAAGTCAGTAGTTATGGTAACCAAAGTATCTTAGGAAGAACAAGACAGAGGAAATGAGGAAGCATAAGCTTACCGATGATTTTGGAAAGCCTGGTAGCTTGGACTTCAGAGAACCCAGGGAACCAGGGTCGAATCAGATCTTCCATTGTAACAGTTGCCAAGGAATTAAAAGCTGAAGATATGGTGCTGGAAAAGAAGATGCACAATGACAAGCTGCCCTGACAGGCAGCTGAGAAAGGAAGGCTAGAAAGGAACTAGTCCCTTCTTTTGAGGGATTAGCACCCTGCAGGTGAGGGTGATGGATCTGACATATGCAGCAACAAAAGCCATCCTCAGGCTATCTCAGGGGAGGCCTGAAGGGCAAATCCACTTGTCCTTCTCTGCCTGTGGCGATAGAATTTAAGTACATAATTCTGGGTTCAGAATTTAATTAAGTCTATCAGTTCTGGCTAACCAAAAAGGGAATGGGCACAATGAGATATTCAGGG